TGGGCACTGTTTACATCACTTGCCTGCTCTCCATACGCAAGCATCTAATCGACTCCACTGAGCTAAAAACGGACACGCCATTATCATTATTAGCTGTGTTCCTGAAGAGGTAAGGGCAAAGCTGCCTTTACTGGAACTGTTTAAATGTGTAAGAGGGATGCTCCCTCAACGACCCCTATAGTGACGATTATAAAGCAAAGAGCAGGCCGAGTGACCGTGTGTGGGCATCTGAGTGCACAAAAGGCAGGGCATGCCCGGGGCGGGCACTGGATCTGTGGGCCACCAAGAACAGCTGAGAGTGGAGCCGGGGAAGCCCCACCCAAGGATGCCCTTGAACTTCGGAACCGGAGTGCAGGAAGTGGTCGGCGCCCGAGGGAAATCAGTACTTGCCAGGCCTCTGGGTTGGACCTAGGTGAGAAGGGAGGAGCCCTGGCCACAGCACTGGCCATACGTGCATACATATACACACAGGCATGCACACACACACACACACACACACACACACACACACACACACGCACACTTGCTGTGTTCCCCCAGCACAAATACGTACCCCCCCCAACAGGCACTTCTCCTACCCAGCAGGAGAGGGTGAGCTCAGGGCGAGCCGTCCAGGAGCGGCCTCCTTCCTCCAGAGGGCAGGCATGGCTTACCCATCCTTGTATCTTCCTATCCCCTTCCCTTTACTAGGTCCTCCAGCAAGGTATATTCAGTTCACCCAACAAACTCGTGGAGCCCTACTATGTGCCAGGTACCTGGAAAGGTACCTAAGTCTGAAAAGGAGGAAAGGAGGGAAGGAGGAAGGAGGAAGGGAAAGAAGCAATGTGTCCACAGCAGTGTCTTCCACACGTAAGAGTATGTACCTGGTGTGTGTGTGTGTGTGTGTGTGTGTGTGTGTGTGCGTGCGCACATATAGCCAGTCACACATACTAGCCTGTGTACGTGAGCTCCTGCTGGAGATGAAGTGCCCCCAACAGCGACCCCAGGGCAAGAGCTCTGCTATGCAGAGAAAAGCATTCTCTGACCATCCCGACTTTCAGAAGGAACTTGGATAGGACTATGGAACATCACAGCTGGGAGGCACCATCCATTCCATCCCCCTTCACATAGGAGGCAGCCTGAAAGGCACAGGAGCCTGGGTTCGAATCCCAGCACCACCACTTACTAGCTGTGTGGCCTTAGACAAGTGACCTAACCTCTCTGAGCATCAGTTTAGTCTTTAATAAGATAGAGTGATGAAAATAATAGAGCCTACCTTACGGAGCAGTTGTAAGAATGAAATAAGATAATGCAAGTACAGAGCTTAAAAGAGCACCTGGCAGATGGTCAGCACTCAATGCATCTGTTATGTTTCTAAGGCCCGAGGAAAGAGGGGCACAGCAAGATCAGGGGCCCAGCCCGGGTCTTGGACTCCTGGCCAGGCACTGATTCACATTTGGGGATCTGAGGAGGCCCTTCCAGCCCCGGGCTTGGAATGCTCTTGGTCCCCCGTCCTGCTCCCTCTGCCCCGCTCTCTCCCCTCTACACAGGGCCTGGCATCATATCTCCATGATCCCCTCTGAGCCAGAACCAAGGCTCCTGGACTTCCGGATGCTCACCTCCCTTCCCATCTCTCATAAGGCCAGCTCCCCCTCCCTTTTCTGTGGCCAGATTTACCCAGCTGACCCTCACTGCCAGAGTCTCAAGGCTCAGCATCCCCCCTAGCCTCCCCCCACACCGAGCCTGCCTCCTCCCAGGCTCCCCAAGCTGCCCCGTCCCTGCCCAACACATGGACAGTAGGGCTGGGGAGGCTGCTGGGCACCACATACACAGGCCTCTCTGCACTGCCAGCACGGGCACGGCTGCCTCAGCCTACCACGCACAGCTCTGCACCCTGCCTGTTTGATCAGGGCTCTGGGATTGTTCTCCTGTGAAGGGGTCTTATCCACTCTCATTTTCCTCTCCATCCTATCCACAAGATATTTCCTGAGCACCTACTGTGTGCTAGTCGGGCCCTGAAGATCCACCCAGACAACGGTGGCTGGGGTCCTGCCCTCCTGGGGCAGCTACGGCGGGGGGGG